TTTTTAAAGTACAGTATTAAAACCCAAAAAATTTTGTATATTTTAATTTTTAATTTTGGTTTTTTAAAAAATTTTCCAAAAATTTTTTTTTTTTTTTTTTTTTTTTTGTCTTTCACTGACTACAGAGATTTTTAACCAAAGTTACATTGTAACACACAAACGCTGTCTTGTCTTTAAGGCACAACACATCAGTATGAACATTCTCTTCCCCAAACTTAAAAAAGAGACAATATTATATTCCCGTTTCCCTGCCCCTCTTCCCTCCCCAACAAATGAAAGAAAAATTGCATCCACTTTCAGAGTCAGCTGCTAATAAAGTCACAGTAAATTATTTCCATCAATAATTTACACCAATTACAGGTCTAGATAGAACTGTCCTTGTACAGTCTGAGTGCATTCTGATTCAGATTTTTTGGGCTAGGTAGGCTAAAAGTCGGATTCAAACCTCAGGGCTGAGACGAGCTCCCACTTTGAGGAATGTTGTCCACCACCTTGTCAGAGGCAGCACAGGTACTGTGGCTTGGGAAGGTTAGAGTTCTTTGCTAAAGCTGCTAATTCCAGTTAAGGACTCATTTGGTGTGCATCAGCAACTGCCACAGATTTTTTTTTTAAAGCATGAAAGTGTAAAGATAGTAAGACCATAGAGTTTCCTTTCTGTAGCACTAAAGTTTAATTCCATTCAGCAATCTGAATTCTTCATTCTGGAGTTTTCATTCTGAATGTGATTTCATCCTTTAAGACAATTTATATATGTAGAAGAAGCCAGCGGCATTGAATCACACGTAAAAATTCAGTGTACTTGAAATATGCAAAACGGATCCTTAGCTAGAGAACAGTTACAAATACTCTAATTCCAGTGCTTGATGTAGAGCCAAGAGGTCCGAGTGGTTTGATATCCTCCAGAAGGGCATGTTGTGCTGTGTGGTTAAGACAAGGAGAGATGGGAGAAGGAAGGGATGGGCATGAATGGAGACAGATCATAACTATCATCTCAACGAGACAGCAGGACACACCATGGTGTGGTGTTCACCCATGTTCAAGGCAGGGAGCTTAACAGAGGGACGATCACACTTGGAGGTCTGGAAGTACCAATGAGGCATTTTCAAAATAATGGAGAAATAGATCTGAACTGTATTTTAATGATAAGAACAGCAAATACCGAATTTCGTAGATGGTCTAAATCTTTACTCTGTAAAATAGTATTACCAATGTCAACATCAGGGAAAGCAGGCATGGAAATCCTACATGGCTGAGGGAAAACAACTATCAATCAGTACATCACTCCCGGAAGTCAATCTCCTGTCTAGAACTAAGATAAAACTAGATTAACTTCCTGAACTCATATGTCTTTGATTATTTGATAACAAAAGAATGAATTTCTTCCTATGTAAAAAATAATCAGGAGTAGACTACGTAAAAAATCCCCATTGGAATTGATAATGTTCTTTTTGTACAGGATAACTAATAAGCCAGTAGAGCTGGCTTGGCTTATTTCACCATATGGGATTGAGAGATAAGACTCAAACATGCAGTTTTCGTGGGGAAATACCATCTCATGTGGATAAAGTTGTGAGGTGGAAAACCTGAGCCATGTTGTGGTTTGTGAGCCATGATTGGCTCTCTCAGAGATGTACCAGCATCTTCTCTAGATGTGGTATGAGAGCATACAGACAGAACTGATTAGAAAACAATAACAAAAGAGACCTCATTGGAAATAATATAAAAGAAAAATATACTATAGTAAATCACAAATAATAGCATTGTTTGTTAGTTTGGGCTGAAAACATCTTCTAGGCTATACATATTGGGAATGTAGTCATGTATATATAATAGAAATATATACCATGAAAGAGACATCTTATTTTAAAGTGAAGCTTTATCATAATAATCACTATGCTATATAATTCTTTGCTGCTCAGTATCACGGCACCAGCCATGTGTTACGAGCACTTGAAATATGTTTAATTCAGTTTAAAATACATACTGAATTTAAAAACCAAGAGCAAAAAACGTAAACATCACCTCAATAATTCTTATACTGACTAGGTGATGAGACAGAATATTTGGAATATATTGGATCAACTAATGTATATTATTAAAGCTGATTCTACCTGATTCCTTTTAAATGTAGTTTCTAGAAAATTTAAAAATTAGATCTATCTCACATCATATATTCTGAGAAGAGAGTGAAGTTATCATTCCTGTTCCTAAAATTTGTGCTTTTCTTCCTCCCTTAAATTTCTCAAACATAAATTTTAGCTCAAATTAGACCACAGAATTTCAAAGATTGTAGCTTTTTTCATCCAGCTCAGATCTATTTGTAGCAACAAAATAGTACTTAATATTGTCTGCGCATGCGATTACTTCTACTTCCAGAGAAAAGCATGCATTCTGGGTACTAAAGAAACCAGCCACCTGTGTTTCTAGAGAACCACAGCCTTGACCATCACCAAAACTGTACCTACTCAAACAACCATTTGAAAATAGCATTCTATCCAAGACTTAGATCCATTTGGAGTCCAGCTTTTCTCTCCTGAAGTGTTGTGTACAAAGCAGAGGGCACCACCGTAGTCTGGCATTCCCACAGTGGATAACTAGAATAGCTTGATCAATTTTAATTTTAAAAGACACGCATTGTTATGGGATTGGAAAAGTGTATTTTATTAGTTCTGACCTAGGGATAAATCAATTTCACATAGGCCAAAGACATACTTCTGTTTGCCAGAGTGTCTGCAGTACTGACTGCTGTTTGTTGTATGTGATTATGGTGCCAACATGGAAAATTAAAACCATACGCATTGCAGATACCAGCAAACTCTGAAAAGGATGCCAACTGCTTGTGAGTGGAGGGAGGCATTTCAAGCAGCAGTCAGCAGGGCAAGTTGGGTTGCTTGAGGCTGCAGCACTGACCTCATACAGAATGTCCTTGGGACCAGCGTGCTGTCTTGAGTCACAGCTAATTAACACCCAGGAGTTCTGTGTCACCAGCTCTCTTAATGGAATGGAAAAGCACTGGAATTTAAAGGATAGCTGCTAATGGTACCACTAAACTTTCTAAAGTAGGATCCCTTTCTCCTCCAGTTTTCTGTGTTTGAGCTGACTAGATACATACATCATAGCTCTTTGTATCATAGCCATAAGCTCTTCTTTAAAACTGTTTATTATGATTACTTTTTAGAACTCAGGAATTTGGTAAACCCTGTGGTATGTATGTTTAGTGAGGGATTTATTAGATGGCTATTTAAACTGTCTCTACACAATACAGATAATACTCTCTGTATGTAAAATAGTCTAAGTTAATATATCATTTATACCTTCCTTCTCCTTTGTCTAGGTGATATTTTGTGACCTTTCACGAAGGAAGCAGAACACAGCTTGTATTGACTGCTGTTGAGAACAAATATGGACGGTGTCAGTTCTCTTCTGATGTAGAACCAACCACTTAATGATTGTGCTATTGTCTTGGCTTCATCTTCAGAAATATGGGCCAGAATGAAAGTTTATTTAAATAAGTAAGGACTATGAGGTCTTCTGAAGATGTTCAAAGATGGCTGCCTGGCCTTAGTCAAGTATTAGTGACTCACTGATAATCTGGAAGATGCAAGGAACATCGCCTCCAAGTCTCTAAGACAGGTTGCAACCAAAGACACGAATAATACACCCATTCCAATCAAGCTGGTTAAAGCCTCTTACAAGTTTCTCTTCAGCTATCAAACCCATCTTCAGCAGTTATCCTCAAGGAACGTGTCTGTCTCCAGGCACTCCAAGGACCATGTGGAGTTTGGGAGTCATGAACCATACTCACTGACTTTGTGTTGCGATGAGCTCCTTAAACTTCGTCTTGATGAATTTCACGAGCTTGTTCATTTATATGCATGTGCATTGTATACATTTATATACTTATTGTGTGTATTAAATGTATACTCTGAATATACTTTCATGGTTCTTATCTATTTACTTTACATATATATGGATATATATCAACACATTTTCCTGTATTTCCTACCAAATTCCAGGCATAAAATGCTAGACTCCAAATGGTTTGTTTGCATGTTCAGTATTGACTCTCTCATGCTTTTATTGCTTTGCATCTATAAATGTAAATCACGTGTCAAGCTGCCATTGGGCCAAACTACAGAATGCAAACAAAAAGGCTTGCATTAGAGGAGCCACACCAACATTGTCTGAGACAGGTTACCTTTTTTGCTGCCTGTTCTTCTTCTACACCATCCCCAATTACAACATATACTACTTTTCTGCCAAACCTTTGCATTATTCGTTCAAAGCAACTTTCTTTTCCTGGAAGATAAATGAGATAAAGTTGAGAGCGAAGTTACCTGGTTAGCAGCATGCTCCTCATCTCGGCCATCTCCAATCACAACGTAAGTTATGTTAGTGCCAAATCTGGACACTATACGCTCAAAACAGCTTTCCTTGCCTGAAAAACAATGCACTGCTTACTCTTCCAGCCATGGTATTCATTAACCTAGAGATTCACACACTGTTAAATTCATGTCTCTTGAACATCATTTGGGTGAGCTTAGGATCTCTGAGTTTACAAATTAACCCAGACACATTTGGATACGTAACTTTATACTCAAGATAGGCTATTAAGCAAATATGGTTCATACTTTAAAAAAGACAGCAGTGCTGAGAATTTGACTTAGACTAAATATTACTACTGCATAAAATAGTATTGGAACATGTTTTTACAGGCCAATATAGGTTTCAACAGCATTTGTTTAGTACTAAGAACCCATTTTACCTAATTTATTTTTTGTATAGACAAGTCAGTTGAATATACTATTGGGGAAAATTGGAATTTCATCTCTAAAGAAAGAGGAAATATTGATAGATTTACCTTGATAGATAACTCCCTTTTTTGATGTATGTGGGAGCTAACCTACTTGGATTTAACGTACTGAACATGCTGTCTAACTGGGCCTCAGCAGTGAGAGCACTAGCATCTCTGCTGTACTATGGGAATATGTCTGTGGAAATCCTTCACGTGCTTTGTGTTTACAACACTGGCATCACTTCCTCAATTTCGTTCCAAGATTTTCATGCAGCCATGGCTACTTTTGTCTGTGTTTCTTAATCAGATACTTTAAGGGGAAAGAAATGATTTTTCTCAGATTAAATATAAAGAACAATTTGGTCAATGAAAGAATATCATCTCTTTCCTACATAAATGTTTATTCTGATATATAATCATTTGTGTTGTCAGAAAGCAAAATCACATTCTATTTATTAATCCTTCTAGTATAACATTATATTTACATAATAATGCATGTGATTTGGACCTGGGCTCTGATCTCCCGTGCTTATGACAATGTGACATACACATTAAGAAAGTTTGGCTCTCTTTAACTATTCTCCCCAAACAGCTGCAATTAGGAGCTCCTTTATTAGAGTCAATACCAGCACCCCAGTCCCGCAATGAGACGTAGGGTTAGCTATTTTGGGTGGGGATATTTCAGGATTTTCTTTCTTTCTTTTGAGGCATTTGCAGTGTATTTCCTATAGCCCCATTTGACTAGAACACCTTATGTAAACCAGGCTGGCCTTGGTCTCACAGAGATCCATCTGTCTCTGCCTCTGCCTCCAAGTGTTGGGAGCAAAGGCATGTTCCACTGCACCTGGCCAGATTTTAGGATTTTGAATTTGTCTTGTCAAGGTGCCAAAACTTAATTTTGTTGACCTTGAGGGCACATCACACAACCCACTTATTTATCCTCCCAAGCTTTTCCTTGGCAGTAGAATACAAAATCCTGTCTTCTTTTAACTCTTTCAAGATGGCAGAACTTGATGAAGTTTTGTTTGAACAATAATTAAAAGTCAGATTCTGAAATATACTTAAAGTCAAATATGGCTCCATAGATGAATTTTACTCAGAAAGCAAGGTTGTAGTTCTTTGACTCCTATTATGTATTGAGAAATGCAGATTTTAGTCACTTATGTCATGAACATTACATTTATATTTTCTGCTTCAAGAAAATTCTTCTTCTGTGTCAGGCATTATTATTCTGGTGCTGTTTGAGTTCATCTGAGAGTTCCCAGTGATGCCATAAGAACATTTTACTCTCAATTGGTATTACTGCACATGCAAAGATGAAATTCTACACCTCACATTAATTAAATAGACAAATACTGTGGCTGGAGAGAGTGTTTATTACTTAGACAAGATATGCTGGGATACTGTGTAAAATCTGCAGAATGAGTTAGGATTGCCAAGACACCGAGTTCAGAATTTCACTAGCTAAGAGATTTCATAAAAATTTACACATGTGCAATGAATTACAGGTATTTTGTTATCTGAAGCTTTTATAAATTTACTTGTTCTAACTGATGAAAAGAGACTCATGCAGGAAAAAAAACAACAACAGGAATGAATCCTCCCCCCACCAAAAAAACCCCCACAGACCAAAGGGTAATTTCTTACCTATTTTAGTTGCACTGTAAATATTCTCAATGGGGAAAGCTCCTCCTAAGCTGTAAAGTAGAACCTTCGCAAGTGCAGGAATCAGTTGGGTTGTCGTTACCAAGACATTTACACAGTTACTCCTAGCACAGGGAGGAAATGCATGTGTTTGCTTTCTAATAGTAGGTAGCTTTTGACAGTACAGTTTTAAAATTGCCGCAGGTGTTTCTAAAATCATCATTACTCTCAGTAGACAATCTCTCAAAATGGCAGATCATTAGGAATAATGCACAAATCATGATAATATTCTGACATTTAAGTCTCTGTAATATTTTGTCACAGTAAGATGATATATTTTGTCAAGGTCTTATAAGTGTTACAGAATGAAAAGACAGTGAAGTGAAGCAAGATACAGGCTTTTTACATTTAGAGAGGCTTCACCGTTTACATTATGTGGTATTTTGTAATTACATCACCTTTGAAACTATCAACACTATATATTTACAGCAGAAAGTTTGTAAAAGGCAGGAAGAAAATGAGAGGACCCAGTCAGAGACAGCGGCTGCCTTCATTTTGTGAATTTACTTTCCCATTAAGAATAACATTCTCTATATGCTTTTATCTCATTACCTATTCTCCTCATGTTACCTGCAAGCAAATTCCTCTGTAACATTTTAAAAAATGTTGTTTAGTTGGCTTTTGATTTCTCATTAGTATGTATAATGCCACCTCCATTTTTTTTTATACCTTGAATTATGTCCTTAGTGGAAACTCACATAAGAATTAGAGTAAGAGGGTAACTCAACTTTACTGAGAACTCTGACACATAATTCAGCAAAGCATTTGTTTTCCTGACATTGCTGGCATTTTGGGAAAATGTCCAATATGTTAATGGTACAATATATGAATAACTTAGTGAAGTTCGTAGATCTAACTATTCAGTGGGTATTGACTTGTTTTTCTTGGACCCTTTTTATTTGTTTGTTTATTTATTTATTTATTTATTTATTTATTTATTTATTTATTTGATCTCCTTAGCCCCAGCTCACCCGAAACTCATTATGTAGATCAGGTTTGCCTTAATCTCAGAGATCCACTTGCCTCTCCTGGGATTAAAGTCGTGTGCCACCATGCCCAGTGTTGTATGTTTATTTCTTAAGATCACATATCCTTGAGGTTGCTTCAAGGTCATTTATCTAATGCTAACCTGTATATAGCATATGTAATATAGTTAACCTATATAATTAATATAATATGAAATAATTGTGTTTTTTTTCTTTCTATGCCTAGGTAACATGTTTTATAAATGATTAAAGCTGTTGCTTTTCTCCTTAGAGAAATGTACATAACTATATATATCACACACAATTTCAAGGACTCACAGGTCCTCATGCCCCCAAATCTCTGACCTTTGGCCTCTATATCACAGTTACAGAAACCATGATGCAGCAAATTCCATTTTCAAGGACCTGTGACTGTTAGTTCTTTCATGCAGAATTAGAATGCCCTTCTTAAATTTCCACTTATTCACCCCAATTCTCACATTTTTAGAGCAAAACCCAATTTATTTTGAACCCAACAATTTCGTTGAACAATTGACTCTTCTTCAGACTAAATTCCCAGCTCCCACAGCTGTCTCTTTTGTGGGGTTCCTGCAGTCCAAATTTCTGGGGCTACCAAGCTGGGCCCAGGAGGTTTCAAGTCTGTCACAGTTCCCACTAGAATGTTGCCTCCAGAACTGAGCAGAATCAACCGTGGCTGTCCTAATCAACACAGGAAACTAAGTTCAAGGCCCACCACAAGGACTTTCTGTTATTGATGAAATGTATGTTTATACAACCAGGAAAAGAGTCACATGCCAGATTTGACACATACCACTTTACTTTCATGTCTTAAATACTGAACTCTCTGTTTACTCTGGCAAACTTTTTACGTGTCTGTAATCTGTCCAAATAATACTGCTTTTTCTGCTTATGTTTTACACATTAGCCAACCATACTTTTCCTTATTCATCTAAGTCATAAATAAAACCATAAAATATGAAAGAACAAATATTAATCTCATCCACTGGCTATCACTTTACAGATTTATATTACTTTGGAGTTTGGAGTTATCATCTATAGTACACAGTTATAATCTATAATTTTGTTATCTATATCAACAAGTCCATACTTCTTGTCTAATTCAAACACCACAAGGTTAGAATGTCTCCAAGAGCTTTCTCTTGCTTTTCTGATGCACTTAAATTGTATATTATTTATTGTGGTTTAAACAACCTAAACTATGCACATTCATTTTATAAGCAGTACTGTTGTATTTTCACTATCATCCTTTGGAACTTTGTCACCAACAGATGACTGTCTCCTTCATATTACAAGTTACATGACCTTTATGTGGGGATTATTAGTGATTAGGTTAAGATATGGGTGGAAAGCAATGATCTTTTAGTCATATTAAAAACAGAAGCCTTTTTGCTATCTCAACACAGACACAGAAACAGACAGACAGACAGACAGACAGACAGACAGACAGACACACACACACACACACACACACACACACACCCTGAAAATCACTGGACTTGGTGAATTGCTAACTCCCTTCAAACTATAAGGTAGACTAGGTATTGAAACAGTTGTTCTGTGTTGTGCTATTGGACTTAAATCTTCCATAAAAGTGAAATAGAAGGACAACAATCCCACTTACCTAGTACTAATAATTGATAAAGACTTAAGTGCATTGGTTAGCCAGGAATCTGTCAGGCCTTCAATTTCTGCCCTTAACTGCAGCCATGCATCCCTCTTGGCAGGGCCAAGGAGTCCTACAACATCGAAAAGTAAGCCACAGTCAGAAGTGGAATACTGTCTTGAGACTAGAATATGGAATTTGGTGTCCCTTCTGTCTACAGTAGATAATTTTAATTTCAGCTTGCATCATAAATGAAGAGGTACAGACTTATATTAACATGGTCCATCCTTTCAGAAATGATTATCCAGTATTCATTAAATGGACATTTATTGGACAACTAGCCCAGGCATTGGATTAACAATAAAGATACAACACTGGAAAAGCAAATCCAAGTTTCTGCTCTCACTGAGCCTGGAATCTAGCACACTGGGCATTACCCAAATTACGCTGCAATTCCTGGGCTTGAGACCCATTTCATGAGGCCAGGGTATGTCACATCTGGAGGAATTATGGGGCACCAGGGACACAAATAATGTCTACTTGAAAATGCTGTATCTTAATAATCACAATCATTTCCAAATTGGAAAAGTAATGATGGCATCTTATGCATCAATTAGAACTTTTCTCAAACAAGTGATAGCACTTACAGATGTATTTTTTTAAATTAAGAATGATGTCTAAAATCCCAAAGTGTATTATCCATTATAAACAATAATTGAAAAAAGTGGGTGTGCAAAATTTTAATTTAAAGAGCTTCTGAGGATATAGCTCAGTGGTTGAGCACTTGACTAGTATACATAGGGCCCAGCACTGACAAAATAGGAAGGAAGGAAGAAAAGAAAAAGAAAAAATAATAAAACAATAGCATATGAGCATCAATTCAAAAAGATTTCTCTCCACCAAGTATTACCCTTGTGGAACCTGCAAGGCTCAAATTTCTATTTGTAAATGAAATAGAAATTCATTCGCCATATGAAATTCTTGTCAGTTCAACATTCATACTGTTTGTGGTTCTTCAAGTCTTTGTTTTTATGCATAGGGTATTCATTGAACGTTAAATGTGATTCATTGCTAGAAAATACAAGGCAAACAGACACACAGCCTCACCCTCAAGTGGAAGATGCATACAATATATGTACTGTAAACCAGAATTTTATTTACTGTACTCCATGGCATATGACATAAACATGCATATGCAGAAAACACACATAATATTTAGATACATAATTTCCTTTTGGATTACTTTTGTGATCCTCAACCATTCTCCTTTTTAAAGAAAACAGACATCTTAGCAGAGGAATTGTATGTGACCTCATAACTAATCCTCAGAATCTACTGACCTAAAATTGATTCTAACAATAAAGATCACCCATGCCTATTACATCTAGAAGCACAGCTAGGATGCTAGTTTTGATGATTAAGGTTGCAATCGTTCCTCAAAAATATATGGATGTAATAAAATGATGTAGACATTGTCTAAAGATGTGTTAAAAAGCCACAATAATTGTAGTGAACACTCTATCGAATGTGGGACAGATACACTGTTAAATAGATCTATGGAGTATTTATGGCACAAATCACTGCTTATATTCATTCTGATATGGTCAAAGAGAGGCAGTGACTATCAGTAACCCTTCCAATGATTTGGGCTCTGTCTCTAGAAAGATCTTTTAATTAATTATTCCCCTCTTTTGTCTGATTTTTACTGATAGCATCAAATAATACTGATGAAGTAAATTAAATGTTTTACTCTAAGTCCTGACTGAACACAAAGTTCACAAAAGAAGATCAATTCTTTTTACAAGGGTGCACTTAATTTTTTCCCCAGTAATTCTAAGGAAGTAAAATTTGGGGCTCAGTACATTTCAAGGTAAGTTTTCACTAATTTACTTTGTAGTAGGCTAATCTCTGACATGAATCTACAGTTTGAGTTCTTCCTATACCCAGATGCCGATGCTAGATGAAATCAGCCACACGTACCTCCAACATTGTTCTTGTAGGTGTTATATAATTCCTTTACTCTTCTGTACCGAAAAGCCAACTTCCTCATCCAGTCCACTCCTCCTCTCACACCTGTTGGCAAACAAAGGTTCGCACTACTTGCAGCTGCATGGAAGCCATCAGTTGCAAAACTGTAGGTACTGCAACACCCAAAATACATTAAAAAGAAATAAAAGAAATAATTACATGTACAAAACTCCATAGTTTAATTTCTGTAGGAAACGGCAGATTGAAAGGCATGGCTTACCTTAAGTCCTGACCATTGTCGTCTGAGGAAACATCATCTATATGCACTTGATCGCACTCCTAAATAAAAGGAAACGACGGAAGCATTATTTGTCATCCAAAGGATGCTTAGCACCACGGAAGGGTTGATGCCTTTCAGTTCGGCCACAAGATGGCAGCATGGGCCCACCCATGCCTGCCTTTGATGGTTGCTTTCTTAGCGAGGGGAAACTACACGTTTTCACTTGCAGTTCTAAATCCAGAAGGGTCTCAAAAAGGAGTCTGAAAACATGAGGTCATTTTAAAAGTAACCTTAATTTTAACATCATCGGTAAGAACTTTGGAATTCTTGCGTTCATCGATGTTCCCCCTAGTAGCTCTTTCTGCTCTGTATATTTAAGAAAAGTTAGCCTGTAAATACACGATACTCCTTGGGTCTGAACGTCTCAAGTGGTCATTATATGTGATGGCTAATCCTGGGTGTCAACTTGACTGGATCTGGGATTAACTGAAATGAGATGGGGGTCAGGAATTCTTAATAGTGCAGGACTTTTTTATGACTTAAGTGTAGATCATTATCTGTTTGTAATAATAAATATCAGTTCAAACCTTCAGTGGAAATAGAAAGCAAGGAAGGAAGGAAGAGAGAAAGACAGGAAGAACAAGAAGGAAAAAAGGGGAGAAAGAAAAGAGAGAAGAAAGAAAACTATTAAGAGGAAAAGAGTTTGTGTGTTCTTTGATCACTTCTAAAAGAGGGGAACCTAATGCAAAGTGCCCAAATCTTAGTCACCCAATTGAGGCTTGGTTGCTATCATCATCCTACAATACAAAATACAGAATCTTCAGCCAAGTGTGGTGGCGCAAGCCTTTAATCCCAGCACTTGGGAAGCAGAGGCAGGTGGATCTCTGTGAGTTCCAGGTCAGCTTGGTCTCTATAGTGAGTTCCAGGACAACTGGGGCTACAGGGAGACCCTGTCTCAAAAA